GAGACCTAGACGTAGATGGGAGGATAATCTCAGGCGGGATCTATGGGAGATAGGAGTTGAAGGAGACTGGATTTCGTTGGCCCAGGACAGGGTCCGGTGGAGGGCTTTAGTTAATTCGGTGATGAACCTTCGGGTTCAGTAAGCTATCTAGTTAGTTAGTTAGACCTAATGGTTGAAATGTTCCCAGCACGAAAACCCGTTTTCAATTCAACCAACCTAATTCACGTGTTGGAAATTACTTGGAATCAAGCCAGTAAAATATTAACTCGAACTTCCTCCTCACGAGCGTAGCTATTTGTTATTCGTGTTACCCTGCTTTGTATTCCGTTGTTCGGGATGACACTGCAGAGCACTCCAGCGCCGTGGAAACAGGTGAAACGGAGATGTAACCAAAGCAAGAATGCGCAATAAGGCTACTGAATCTTCCAGTAGGTGACTTGTGGGTCAGTAGTTCATGGCAGGGTTCTGCATTCCAAGGAAAAGTCAGCGTACACAGGAACTTCTTGTGCATACATTCATATTTGTTTTTTGTGGAGAGATTTCTTACCTTGATACTGTAAATGGAGTAACATCAGAATGCATTACACGGCACTTCCATAGTCATCGTTGAAATATAGTGGTGAAGCAACTTCAAATACTCCTAAACTAAATATTTTAAACTGAAAATTGTACATAATTCAATTGTGCAATTTAAGATTTTATTTCAGGAAAAGGCATAACGCAAGAACCCAAATAAATAAATAAATAAATGCGTTAAACGTAGATACTAACGTGTCAATAATTATTTGTTCTGATTTTATAATTTTTAGAAGACATTGAAGAAATATTCCTTCGTATTCTCTCCCAATCATATCCTTGCCGTTTACTTCTTATTCTTTTGGTCTTGAATGTTTAAGCAGTTGAGGTCATTGCTGCTTCGCCACTGAATGTCCAGGGTGGGCTAAGATGGTACATATTTTCTGGTTCTGTTAGGTGGCTGTTGTCATAGTTGCATGCGCTTCTTCCAGCTGTTGGCTTCAGACCTGCCAAGAAAGACGACTTGGACAACTGTGTGTCAGTATGTCGCCGACATTGGTTTTGTGTCCGAAATGGATGAGAGATCTCCGACGTATTCTTAAGAATTCAAGAATGAATTCAGCGCTTTCGATGCATCGGCGTCTGTAATGGCGTCGTCTGCTAGTGAGTCCATCCATGTTCCACGGCTGACACTCGTGCATTACCCCTTCTGTGTGCATGTAGCATTTTTTATTTTGCTAGAATTTTTGTATGTGAGGTTCAATTATATTACGTGAATTGTTCTGGGTGCTTTGTTAGGTTAGGTTACATTACGTTATGCTGGAATCGCATGGGTTCGGGCTGAACCTATTTTTATTTTTATAGTATGTTAAGTTTAAATTGTTGTTCTGGGTTTTGACGCCGTGTCGTATTATAGGTTATTACCATTGTTTCGGAGGGACAAGACAAGACAAGAGATACTTTAGAGTTTGTAAGAAAGTCTTCGGCCGCTGGGACAACTGCAGGTTCGCTACCTGATATAGTTATGCATTTGGATTGCAGTAAAACCTCATTAATTCGGATTCTCTATAATTCGGACTACTTTTCATGTGTGTATTTTAATTATGCAAGACAAAAGAAATTCGTAAACGAGAATTTGGTTCAATTTCCCAGTTCCCGCTTTTTATCTTATGTCGTATTTGTGCTCTGTTACCATTAGGATAGCATATGTTACTGGATTTTGAATAAATGAGCTTGTTTTGATGAACTGTGGCTTGAAAACAAATTGTCTTATTCGATTGTGTCTTTTCATTCATTTGGACTACGCCTTTCCCGTGTTAGGTTATGTTCGTGCCAGTTAGGATATTTATTATTTGGAATCGTTTATGCCATGTTTTTGTCTTCGACATAGACCTACGCATCCGTAAGTACATCGGAGTCGTGCTTGCTTTAAATTATTCGGACAAAAGTCTCCACCAGCTTATGTTTAGGGACTGAAACCTTTCTAGTCAGTAGTATTCCTAACCGCATTCAAACGGCACTAGGCGTTTGCAAGGTGCCTGCATCGGTAATGACATTTTCGATAAATGAATATACTGCTCTGCTGCTACCTAACGCGCATGCTCATTAGCCTGTTTTTGTATAGGCAAATAAATGCACGTTTCAGTCTCAAGTGGTTTTCTTCTTACTCTTCGCTCTGTAGGTTATTTTCTATATTAACACTGATACCTGCCTTCATCCACGATTTTATAATCAAGATGGCAGGTCAAGAGGACTGTACCAGGTTCCTACTAGTAGGATACATGCTTTACAAGAGATACGATTGTAATTTATTACTTAGTCATGCCATAAAAACAAATAAAATAGGAATTGTGTGCATAGCATAACAATTCCGGCTTGCTCACAAACGCTGAGCTCTGCATGGGCGAGGTATCTGGCTGGGTGTCATCGAGGATTCCTCCACGTGGTTGTGTAACTCCTTAGGATAACCCGTCATCAATTTTATATGGAAAAATGCATTTATGTCTTCATGTAAAGTGCGTCAAATTTTAGTAAAACACACCAATATCAGAGTTAATGAAAATCTGATCTGCAGTTGAGTTGCATGTGGATATACAGACCAATGGTGAAGCTAACAACTTAAGATGGCAAATGCGTGTAAGAATATATTACCATATTTTCAGGCCAGGATGATTACCTCAGGCATGATTCTTCAGATGAAACAAATTGGGAGTAACTAGCAGGTAATGTACAGTATTTGTTAAATTTTTGTTTCAGTGACTGTGATGGTGAAAATATGGAGGATCAAATAGAAAATTTGGAAGAGGCGCGGAAAATCATCAAAAGTCTTCGTGAGAGATATCGAGCACAAAGTCACCAACTTCTAGCGTGGCGGCGAAGAGTCAAGGCCCAGGTATACTATTCATTAGAGAAATATATAATTCACAGAAATAATTCAAACCCATTAATACTGATAGATAAAATTAATAACCAGACTTTATTTACAGGCCTATGAGTATACTGAGCATTGTCAGAATGTAGTCACCTTTTTAAATTAAAGTAACCTTTTCTATATTTATTACTAAAAAAAATTACTAATAAATAGTTAGGTTTTAGTGTTCATATATTATTGAATTAATCTTGCTGAAATAGAAAATTAATGTGAATTGAAATGGGAGCTCCAAATATGAAGGTTTGTCTAGAATGTTTAACTTCGGGTGAGAACCGAGAGTCAAGAATGTTTCTGGTAATGAAATTGCTGAACTTATCAGTTCTGTGAATTTACAGATACTGGAACATTATCTAACAAACACTGGAAACTAGAAGGGTCATTTAACTTCTTTATTCTGAGACAGCAAAGCTGCAGGTCCCGAGTGGAGTCCCAACTAAAACTGTGGTTATGAGAATATACTGGCTGGTTAAGCCTGATGCACATTTCAGGGTTAGCTGGTGATAGATGGGTGTGGGGTGTTGATGGATAAAAATCTACTCCAGTGCCTCTTCATCCATAAAATGTACCACATGATTATTTCTGTAATTGAACCTGGGTCTCTGCATTGAGAAGCCAGCTTCTAACTGCCTGAACTATGGCACAGCAATAGAAGAGTATTGACAATGAATGTACTTTATTGGGGGTCAGAACTCACCATTGTGAGATGGGATATCACTCATGTGAGACAAGAAGGCTTCCATAAGTTAATGCAAAATATTTCTCCCAATTTAACTGTCCACAATGTCTATTAGACTAACTAAATCATAAAAATGTCAGATGGGACATTTTATATATATTTTTTTTAATGTGAGATGTGGCTGCAGAATTTTGATCATTCTCTTCAACTGTGTTATTATGGAGGCCTTTATCAAACATGTATCACCTCTTACATGCAGTCCAGCTGGTCATGCATCACAGTAACCATTAAACCCCATAGTTAAAGCCTGACCAGCAGCCCCTTAGTTCAGGGCATTCAAATCACCTGTTCCCATAAAATAAAGTTTAACATAGTACAAGTTGTTTCCTTCTTCATAGAAACTTTCTTTCTCATTGTAATATAATATCTATCAGCGCTTCACCAGAGTTTTTCTTTACTACTTGTTAAATTTAATATGAGAAAGTAGATGAAGTAAATTTAACAATTTTGGTTGACTATATCGCAGCACGAACCAAGGATAGTTCTATGGAACAGAAACATGTCTACAGTACAGTATATAAGATGAAATTGTGGTAAACTGCTGATGGAATAATTATATTATATTAAATATATTCAAAAGGACAGTGGAAACATTGCTGTTAAATTTTCTGTTAATCTTGTTACAGGAGGAATTAGTAGCAAGACTGAACAAAGAAAGGGCAGAGCAACTAAAAACTCTATCAGCAGAACTGATTCTGTTTGAATCTCGATTATGTCGGAAGCAGAAGGATATCAGCGTCCTGTTAACACAGAGAGAAAATGTTATTTTGTGTCAGCAACGTGCTATCCAGTTACTGCAGCAGCGACTATTAGATGCAGGACTTGACACATCGAATCTAGACCTGCAACAGTTTGATTCTCCAACTGGAGAGACTAATCTTGACTCACTCAATGACAGTGACAGTGCAGTTATCATGGAGGATAATATCGGCAATGACCAAGATGTCATGAGCGTGTTGCCCCGTTTTCGTCCTGGAATCGATGGCGTCACAGTTGTGCGTAGTGTGTCGGATGCTGTCGAGCCAGGGAATAAATACTTGTCTCTACGTCGTTCAAATGGTTTCCTCAGACGCCCAGAAATATTAGAGACAGTTTACAGTGTTGAGGAAGATGGAGAAGACGTCACACCTCAAACTACCACTGCAGGGATCAAGACTGATTTGCCCTGTGAGAATGGCACTTCTTCTGAGGAACCTATACAACATTACAGGGGGAGCTGGGGGAAGAGTGGGAGGCTACAGGGGCTGTATGGGAGCTTTGAGAGGCTCAACGAGACACCACATAGGCAAAGGCACTCGGAGGAACCACAACAGAATCAAGTAACAACTTACAATCGAGTGATGAGTAACCATAGGTCAGTCACCAAACCGAAGGATGTCAAGTACAAACGGATTAATAAAGCTAAGTCTAAATCCCTGGAAGAGCTGAGAGGTCGTTTAAGAAACTGGGTGGACAAGGGAAACAAGCTAGCATTGTCACTCGACCAGTCATATGCCTGATGTTGTAACATCATGTAATGAGTTCAAAAATCTAATGTGGATTTTTGTGGCTGTTATTTCCACCTCATCTTCTTCTGTACATATTTTGTGGTTCTTCATGAAAAATTAAGCTTAAGTACTAAATACACAGTGGCACTTAGTGCATTCAAAAGACTGGGACAGTTTTTGAAAATATCTCTTGTGCATCAATAAGAATTTTCTGGTTATACTTTATGCAGTAAGAATTGTTAGATGGTTTTTTCATTTGGACGACGCTGCGAAGCAGATAAAAATACATGTCAACCCATAGCCAAGTTACCATAAAGGATGCCCGTTGTTCTGAAAATTGAAAACCAGAATATATGTTCTGCATAAAAAGTGAAAATCTGTATTTAACACACCAAAGTAACACAAAATAATGTTCAACTATTAAATACTGATAGGAACATTAAGATATACAAACCACATGTAAGTTAAGTGCTTTTAAATATGATGTGCATGTTGGATTCTTAATTTTGTTTGGATGACAGTAACTGTCTTTTGATTCATTATTAAAAACACATTTCTGAGACCTGATGTTGATTACGGTCTTCTCAGTTGTGACAGCATGTAAGTCTTGTATATTTCAGACAAATTAACACTTTCATCTGTTGTGTAGAAGACCACAAGCAACAAGGACCTTTGGCTGTGTTTATGTTGGATATGCTGTACTTATCCATCTAAAATAATGTACTGTATATTCTAGCATAATTTAATTTTAAGATATCTGAATTTGAAATAGTAGATACGTATGACATGTATTTAAGAGAAAGCAAAATAATATATACAAAAATATACACTGTAGAGTTAAAGGAGAGATGCAGATATATGCTTATATAAATTATGCAATGAAATTGTAATTTTTGTAATGAATGCGGTTAAGAATCTAAATGTAACACAACTTTACAATCTAGAGAATATTTTGAAACAGAGCTTCAAAATAACACTATGAAAAAACTTTAAACAGTGTACAAAAATGATTGGAGAAAACTGTTCAGTCCATTGAAATGCAGTTTCTGTAGCCATCTAAATGGATCAATCAGGTTGGTTTCAAGCTGCAGTTGTAAATTATACGTGTTCTTCAATCAGTGTGTTCCTTTATTCAATAGAAACAAGATATAAATATATTAGATGTAAAATTATACTATATCTTCCAGAACCAAACTTTTTATGGTATTGTCCAATAATTTAATTTGCTTCTTAAATAAATATTACTTGTAAGACTGATCACAGTTCCTTTATTATGAGCAAGGAACTATGCACATTGCATCAGGAACTGCTTCATTACATATGAAAACCTATTTCCTATTGATAATGAATATAGCGTCTGTAGGTGCAAATCTGAAGGGAGTTACACATTTCTCTTTTGATACTTTGTGTTTGCATAATCCAGACTGTCCGATCTCAAAATTTTAAGACAGCTGGTTGTGGCTAATAAAGAATGAATCAATAAACTTATGTATGCAGTTATTTTGTATGTTTTATCCCAGACAGATAACATACTACCATTTAAAGATACAGTTTTGAGAAATACAAAATACAGTCAGATATTCATATCACTAAACTGACAGAATTGAAGAACCTGAATTTCTAGGCTTGAAATGTTTATTACAACACATGCTAATGAAATTCCAATAATTAAGTAACTTGAATTAATGTTATTCTCTCCAGCATTCAGAATAAGGCTGTTTTGTATAAACCGGGATTGAGATATAAAATATAATTAATATAAAGTTTGCATCATGCAATAATACGATTCATAATGGAAAGCCAATTTTTTTAAAGTGTAACAATAAGAACTTTACATGTTAAATCCAACCTTTATACATGTCTTTTGAATTCTTAGTCAGATGTTGCAACTTTATGTCCTTGCGTTGTTATCATGTGCAAGTTTCATATAATATTTAGAACTGTGTGATACGTTCAGAACAGAACTTCACGTACATCACCCTTCTTAGTACTGCCATTCATTAAATATAATTGACATGAAGTGTATACCTGGACTTCTGTGTATGCTTATGAATTCTTTGATAGGGTTTCTTGAATTAAGAACCACTTTACTTAGGCAGCTAAATTAACTTCTACGTACATTTTTTGGGTTTAAAATTTTTTATCTTAATATTATGAGTATAACAGTACGAACATTTCATTGAACTTAATTTGTTTTAAGGTCCATACTTCTTATTACCAAGGTTAGCGATGGTCGGTTTCTTATTTAGCCATTTGATGTGATGTTACATTTTATATTCAGTATTGCCACTGTTATTACATTATCAAAAATATTCATGCCAAATTTTTCTGTCATCCGTGCTTCACTGGTACTGTAACAGATGAGAACATTTCAGACTGATCTTCTATATTACATCAGATTCAACAATTTAACGTACGACACAAACTGTAATATATATTATGAACCTGTGATAAATGATTACCAAATTAAAAATAACAGTACAACAATGCCATGCATAATTATGTGACTGCTTGCAAATGAGGGCAGACAGCTCAGAACTTGCAACACAAGAAAGCTGGCAGTGATGTAGACATAGTCATATGTTAAGGGGTGTGTGGACTTATTCCGTGGCCTTGAAGCATTTAATTTCACTACAGTTACTATAATTATTTAAGTTCCAGTTCAAATGTTACTATGAATCATTAAATTTAAAAAAGTATGTGCAATAATATACAGAAAAATTACTAATAAAGTAACACTTGTAATATTGTTTAAACTGCGAGTAGAGCAAAATATTAAAACTTGTGCACGCGTATTCACACTGATATTCAAAGGATTTTATAATAAACTAGCATGTAACATCTTTGTTATCACTGCAGTTAGAATTAAATTATGTATCTGGTATTTTTAGTTATTAACTTCTTCAGACAAGATATTTTTTTAGTAATTTAGTTTCAAGTGCAGGTATTCAGGTTTTGTTCAAATCTGCAAACATTTATTATGATCAACATCTTGTTACAAGTTCATAAGTCTTCAAAGTGGTGTGCCATACTCAGGTATATTCTTGAAAACTGACAAAGGACTTCATTCAAGCGGTTTAATGCAGTATTACAGCTACAAATTCAGAAGCATGTATTACACTGAAAGAAAATAATAGTCTGCCAAGATGTGGTCAGATGAATGGAAATCCAAGAACCACTGATGCTGTTGACTCACTAACAATGAGACCTGATAAACTTTTTCATGAAAAGCTTAATGACCCTTTCTTTTAAATCTTCATTATCTCTTCCTATTCCTGGTGTGAGTCAGCTTGTTTAATATTATTTAACAATGTACTCTGAGTTTCAAACTGTTAATGGAATCATACTAACACAGCATACTTCAGTTATGAATCTTAAAAGGCAATATGATAATATTGGCGGCTTATATTTCATGCTCTAAGAGGGCGACAATGCAGACTGTTACTCATCCATGGGTTGCTGCAATACAAAACACCTTTCTCAGTGTGTGTCAGTCACTTTCCATCATGGCTTTAAGCAAGGATCTCTTGAAGAAAATTAAATATTTTTGGAAAGTGACAGTGGTGCTTATTCGGAGGATGAAGGAGAGAGTGTTAGAAGATAAACCACAAAAATCATCAGCTCAGCAGCAAGGTATAGAAGAATAGCAGTAGAGAAACAACAGTAACTGAAACTAACATCAAAGTGGGTTCTGCCATGTTGTGCTTTCAATAGCAATGTTGTCCATGAATTTACAGGATCTTTTATGGAAAGAAAATCAGTGAGGAACCACACACAAACAACACCTTCAGTCTACTGACTGTTATCATGTTTCTTTTGAGGGAGTTACCAAATTATTGGTGGTGAAAACCAAAACTGTAACCATCACCAGTTATGAGCAAGAAGAATGAAAATAAAAACAGCAGCAACAATAACAGGCAGATTCTCTTACAAGAAAGAGAAATTATCAGATGAATGACATGCCCCCCCAAAAAAGAACAAAAACACAAAATGTTCTTAATGTGGAAGTTTCAGGATTTTCAGGCATGAAAAGTGAATCATGTAGGGTTTTCTGGAGCTGCTGAGAGACCACAAAATCCCTGTTGTGGTTAGTTCACATTTTCAGAGCCCATTTTTCAAACACCTATATAAAATGAGGAATGCAAATGAACCTCAATAGCAAAACCTCTTGCACCTTTCAATATACTGAACATACAACGTAAACAACAATAAACTACATAGAGTAGTCATTCTTGAGATGCTTGCTCAGCTAGTTAAATTCAGTTTTCCTTTCATTATTGTGTTCACTATCTCACAAAACTAGAACCTTTTCTATGCCAGATAAATCCAATCCACTCTCATGTTCTGTTTCTTTAAGGTCCATGTTAATATTATCTACCCATCAAAGATTAGGGCTTCCAAATGGTCTCTTCCCTTTAGGTTTTCCTACTCACTTCACATATCTCCCATGAGCAATACATGCCCTATCCATCTCACCGTGTTTCATTTGATCACCGTAGTATTTGCTGGAAGAGTACAAATTATGATGCTTCACTATATGAAATTAAAATTAATTTGTTTTTATCTTGTTTTAATTTTTGATAATTTTTAAAACCAACCACTTGTCAGCTGATATGTTTTGTAGTGCTTCAAAGTATGTTACACTCTAGGAGGAGGACCCCCCAGATTCAAAACAATAATAATAAAAAACTGCATGTCACAATGTAGGAGTACAATGAAAATAAGGGAGAGGGGGATCTGGATTATGCCTAAGCACGACTTACATGTTCCTGAGGCAATGTGACTTTTCTTACTCAGAGCACTTTCTGTGATTAATCATTAAATGAAGATACTTTTACCAGAAGTGAAATATATGTTCGATTTAAAATTAAAAGAATGTTGCAATGATGCAGATATTTATTTTTCGTAAAATAATGTGAGAGGATATGACAATCCACGCACGCGTTAATATGGGTATCTCACAACATACTATAATGGCTAATGATGAAAATGCAAACATGAAAAAAGAAATAATTTGTGGTAGCAAAGGGCAATGAGCTCTCATAAAACAGTAAAAGTAACATCACAGGTACTGAATACAGTTGTCATAACATTTCAAGATGGAAGTTACTGCTTCCATAATTGAACACAAAAATATTAAACACTCCAACGGCCTTTTCTGCTGTGGCTAACAATATCCATTCCTAGGATATGTATCAGTTTCAAAAGGGGCAATTTCCATGCAACAGAAGATACCACTTAACATGCCAGAGCAAATTTAAGAGTGATATGCAGTTTCAGTCTTATCCCTTGTGATAAATCTCTTGGCACTTACATAATAAAGACTAATTCCTACTTTTTGGTCTATATTACACCAATGCATGAATTTTAATAACATGTCATTAAAACTGTCACAACCATTTTTGTGTGTACACTCAATTAAATAATGTACTTGAAACTCTTTAGAAATGATTGAAAATGTGGGAGGAAAGAGTTGTGCCCTATACACACTTTCTCACTTTAGTTTAACTAGAGATGGAATTCCTGTCTTATTTTTGTGGATTTTAATTTTTGTTACTTTCAAGAATTTGAAAAATTACAATCTAAAGTATTACTATTTTCAGAACTTTTTAAATATAAAACACGTCTTATATATCAAAATCTAAGAGTATGTATTCTCACAAACTTATGAACTTGGTTAGAAGTTACATTATAAAAATATGTATAAATAAATTATACAAAAAATAAACAAATACATTAATTAATTAATTCATCATCTCAAGATGCTAGCAGCAAATCTACGCAGTATATAATAGGGTACCTTCTCTTTTACGGATCACAAAGATGAGGTTTTTCTAGTGAATAAGTTGATCTGGATCTAAGATTGTCAATGTATTTGCTCTTTCCTTGTAAACCTGTTATTTTATAACCTGACCAAAATTGCCACTTGATGATCAAGGTTGGTCCCGCATCCATCCTTACACACCTGAATCAATCCTGATCCAGAATCATGAACTGGATTGTTCCTCCACTCCAAATTAAAACCCAATTATGACAGCATCTGTAAGCCTGGGTTTCAAGCAGCATTGTTTTCTTGTTAGAGGAAACATTAGATCACTTTAATGACCTGTTTTGTTTTGACAGATCACCATTATGACTGTGTCTAAAAGATGCAAATATTTTGTCCAAAACCGTACTTTTTTACATCAAACAGTTTTTAACCATTTTATTCTTTAAGGACATTATAAAATTTCTTCACATATGAAAGCCTCCAATTTTTTTATGAAAGCATTCTGTAATGTTTTAAACTGTAATTGAGAACAAAACTGTTTCTTTCATCTGTCAATATACTAATAATTTAGGTTAATTCTTGATGTAAATTGCTATTTGACAAAAGACCTGTTGTTCCAAGAATGGCCTGGGGAGGTACCTCCAAGGAGATAACTTCTCTCACTTCCTTTACTTTATCAAAAGTTTGGATGCAATCATAATGGTGATTCCCCCCAATCCAAATTCCAAAATTGATGCTTTAGACCTGGTCACAGTGGTGATTTCATAGTACAAGTGATCAAAGTCACTGTTTAATATCACCATTACGCACAAATGATTTTTACTGTAATCACAGTGATTCAAAATGAACTCATCTCTAGTATGAACAATCAACTACAAAAGGAAATTTAACAACATGTACTTGCATTATATATACATAATCTGTTCCTTCAATACAAGTTATATTATTTATCATGTACTATTCTGAAGTCTGTCTTCAATAACAGTAATCATACAGAACATGGCCAATAAATACAATTTAAATCTCCTTTTACTATACCACTGTGTCACTTCTATGAATTACAAGCTCATTATTTCCAGACTGTATCCCTGAAATAGTCTTGTTTTTGAACCCAATGTAACATCTAGATTATATAATTCAGTGGAACATTTCTCACAGTGTACTGATAATTTTGAAATATTATTAGGGTCTATAAACCATTCTGGACTGGATCTCCGCCTCCTTCAATGTCACCCATTTCACTAACTGAACTTGGTTCACCACTGTCATCATCTTCATTATCAATACCTCCTACTCCCTCATCTGGCAAAAGGAAACCATCAATAGGTGGTATCATGTAATTTTGTAAGTCATCTGCACCATGATTTGCTACACCCAGTAAATTCAGAAGCCAATGTGGAAATGGTTCATCACCAGGCAATATGAGGTCATTATCATTGTCAAAGTCTTCTGCTGC